CGGGGCTGTTTGAGTAAGGTAGAGCTGTCTGGCATAAGACGATCATATCCTTTGCCCTGCTGTCTGATGTAAGAAAGAGCCAGGGTGTTTTACAGGGCGAGACACAGCCTCTCACAATCTGAAGCACTCCGACCGCTCTTACAGAAAAGCCCTCTGGCCGTCCCTCTCCACAAGTTTCATCAGAGTGATCAGAGCAAAAGGATAGCCTTCAGGGCTAGTTTCTTCCATCCACACAGTGGGGTATGAACACACGCATAGATGTACACACACACACAGACACACTGCAGTACACAACACAAAAGCGTTTTTACATGCCTTTTCGATTGCACTTCACACACGTCAAAAATACAGTACAAATCTCTTGGAAATCATTGATTTCTACAGGTTTGACTGTTCATCAATTCTTCATGAGCAGAATGAAATTGAAAAGGCAATGTTGGTTGGAAAAGGCAATGCCTGTGTACTATTGTTGTACTGCACAAAGAAGTCTTGCATCTCACATGTGAGACATGTATCGCACACTGTCTCAGTATCTTTCAATTCCAGTGATATGATCTGTACTTGAACAATACAAACTCTTGGTAGTTAATGCACCCTCAGAGGTTACAAACCACCAAAACACCACATCCGTGTTGTTCAGCTGCAAGGCCTTGCAGAAAACAAAGAAGTGCTTCAGCACACTGTCTGCTTCAACTGTGCAAGTTTATCAAACAGTCATAAGACTGCATAGCATTTTAATTTCCTCTCTGGGGTTATCACCATATTCTCTCCAGTATGAAGAAATGCGACATAGTGAAAGTGGATGACACAGATCTAATTGAAGGTACTGATTTATTACAATACTAATCAGAAACACTGTGTGAATACGCACTGGAGAAGGAAGAGTAACATAGATAGAAACACAATTATCTCATCTCTACTGTAACCTCTACACTGACCAATTTGTCTTAGAATTAAATTACATGTTAACAGCCTTAAACATGTAGTACAAGAGGAATAAAAAAAAAAATCTTTGTACTCACAGGTATGTGTCTTCTTTGTTACTGAGATACCTGCAAAGACAAAACAAACAAACCATGAAAAGATATATGAAAAACAACTGTAAAATACCCAGCACAAACCATAATTTACATTTCTGCTTATACTGTAGCTAACTGATAGTGATGATGGCAATGAAGAGGTAGACCCTGTGGTCGAAACAGACTGTGACTGTCCAAGGTCACTGACGTGGCAGGCAGAGGGCAATTATGTGTGTAGGCTGGTGTCTGACCTACGGCCATGCTACATCAACATTCACGACAAGGTGGCTGAAACTCTATTCTCTGCGGGCAATAAATGAAAAATTATACTAAAAACAAACAACATTTGGAATGCTAATGTGTGTTGAGCAGCCACACTGATTGGGCCTGAGCACATGACTAGGCCTGTGGCCCAAAGTGGGATAGGGGCACTTTGACCTCAATGTTAGTTAGTAAATGTTTTATTTAAACAGGTCTCAGAGATTGGGACCTCTTTTTCAAGAGAATGTGATGCCAAAAGCATACAACAAAAGTATAATTTAAACACAAATTAACATAACACCAATTAAGTCAGAATATAAAGAAAACAATTACACAAACATTTAAAAGATCAAAGCTGGATTTCTGCAAAAAATGTTGCTACATAAAATAATTTGTACTGATCATTGTATTTAAAACTGCAGAATTTAAAGCTTAAGATTGGAAATTAATATACAATGGCGAGTGAAAAATATATCACCATAATGTGTAATGCAGTTCACTGTGATGCACAGAATCCTGAACTTTTTAAGTCGAAGGAGAGGCTTATGTCTACAGACAACAGCGAGCGTTGTCAATTTCAGAACCTTTTACTATTTGGATACCATTAGTGGTGAAATGCAAATTAGAGATCTTGAAAGCAGCATCCACTTTTTCAATTTTTCATTCATTATGGTGCCATATAACGTGGTGCATTACAATGTGGAGTGGCACACATTATACATATCATTCATATATTGTCAGAATGAAAGAGGACTCAACACAGACCCCTGTGGGACACCTTTGGCAATTTTCCATACACATGTACTGGCTTGGCCCGACTCGGTTTGACAGAGCACCAGCCCAAAATGGAAGGGCTTTGCATTTTCACAACATGAGGGCTACTCACTTGAAGGGGTGTCTTTACAGGGAGAGACTTGCAATGGTCAAGGGAGCTCAAGAGTAAATGAAAAGAGAGTGTTTTATTTCATAGATTATTGTTTTATAGAAAAGCCACTAACTAAACTCTGCTCTGATGAAAAACTCATTTAACTTCCTTCACAATATAAATCTCTGGTTATTTTGTTATTTAATAGCTGTTATTATGAAGCAGCAAAACCAAGAAGTGTTGTGGTTTTCATCAGCAGTAACTAAACACGATTCCTATACAGCTGAAAAACCAATCTGAAACATAAAAATAAAGCAGATTTCTGAAAGCACAAACAGGAACGCTGTAGAAAAACTAAACTTCAAACCACAGAGATTCAGTTAGAAGATAAAAAAGTACAGACAGCTGAACACTCAGAGACTGCCTATCTGCTCTCCTGTACAAACAGGAGTTGAGTCTCGCATGTATTTTGAGGGGGAGAAGAGGCTCTTCATGGGGTTGGCCCTGTTTGGAGGTGGCACAACTCGGCACGACCAAAAGTGCTAATAAAAAAGCCCTTCTTTACTAACTTTAAGAGTTGTTATTTGTACCATTGCAAACAACAACAATTACTTCCAGACAGACCATAAAAACGTTCACTGTAAAAATAGATAGAAAGATAACTTTTTCAAGAAAATGCCACCATTATGATCTCAAATGCTTTGATAGCTTTGTGATATTGTCAATGCCTATCAACCTGACATGTCTCTAAAAGCACTTGTTCCAAGAAAGGCCTGTGGTGCAGCTCACTAAAGAGTCCAGTATTCTAACCAGGTAGGTAGTTTTGAATTTGGATGTTAATTATTTGAATCAGTGAGACAACCTGTGCAGACCTCTGTACATGTGGATTCATGCTGGATCTAGAAGTAAGGTCAAACATAATAGCCAGCGGGGCTACAATTAAATGAGCACTGAGGCGTAGATGAGGAAGGATCTAAATTATTCTCCTCCTTTGACTTCGTAAAATTGAAACTCACCAGTTTACTGTAATCTTCAATCTGAGAGTGAGGTTTGAGAGATGTTTGGTATGCAGAAATTTATAGTCGTGGCTGTAGAAAAAATCTGATAGATGAGATACAAGTAGTGGTGTGTGTATTTGCAAACTGCTTATCAAACAAGTGTTTAGACTGACCAGTGTGAGTCAGACCTGGCTGAGGTGGAGCTCGGCTGCTACTGCACATGCTGCCCTTCCTCGCCCCTTCGGGTGTCAACTCATCGAATGAGCCACTTCGGTTCTTGCTGGGGCTCCGGCTGCTTCTCCTGCCTGCAACATTGCTCTAATGCCCCAGGAGCCTGATGCGGACGAGCGCACAGCCAGCCGTGGTCCCCAGCGGCCCGCTGGATGCTCATGCTTTGCAGGGCGATAGCACACTAATAGATCCCACTTGTCATGCGGAAGCAATGGCTAATTTTTCTACAGCTTGCATTTGAAACTCGGGGGACGGCGAGCTGACATGATTCAATAACTCTCTGTGAAAAAGGCGTCTGGCCGGAGATAACAATGTTTCAGACACGTTTGAGGGAAAACGAGTCAAAGAGCAACGAGGGGGAAAACAAATAAGCCCTTCAGCCTCCTATAGACATACACACAGAAACACATAACTGATATCAACTCCACTGAGCAGAAAGAGGGAAAACAGTCACCTAGGGGCCAGCAGTCTGTGATGGAGCTCTAGCACTGTTCCAGTGCTCAGGGCCAAAAGCCTCTGTTCTGTCCAACTGTGACATTACGCAGGGAGAAAATAAACAGTGATCCAGTCTTAATTCTACACGTAAAGCAAATGACATGGAAGCCAGCAAAAGCTGATGGTCCATTAAGGAGCAGAGGTGTCAAGGTGCTGTAATACAAGGCAGCTGTAAAAGCCTTTATTAAGGAGTTAACTGGCTCTTTGTTTTGATGGGTAAGACAACTTCTTAAACCATGTAAGGAACATAGCTGGTGCGCTTAGTGGAAACTGTATTAGAAGGAAATAGCTTATAAGCAACTTTTTCCTGGCTTTTTGTCAAATCTTACACTACTACTTCTACAGACACATAAAACAGACATTCCCATACTATTCAAGGGGAGTCTGGTGACAATTAGCCAAAATATATAATTTAATCTAAAGGGACTTTATTTCATAAGAAATGTGCATAATTTACAGAAGGTGCAAAAAGTGACAGGATTCAAAATTACTGCTTGTTGGCTGTATTTGTCTTTTTCTGACTTGTTTCACGTGTGCCTTTGTTTGACCACAGATCTTAAAGATATAAACAAAAATGTTTATGACTCAGGAAGTGAAGGAGGGTATGTATACAGTATATGTTTTGCCCAGGGTTAGCCACACGGACCACACTGACAACAAGCTGTTCTGCTGTCCGTGGTTACTTAACTGCCAAAGTCAAGAAGGAACAATTCATCTGGTACTGTGAAGAATCATGTTTCTACACATCAGATTTTCTAAAGGCTTAAGGCCAACATAAATTTGACTTGATGAACAGTTTTTTTTATTTCATATAGTGTAATTCTGATACTAAGTGACTGATAATAAGTAACTATTGCCTCACTCGAGTGAACATACTAAATCTGAATGCTTAACAAAGTCAAATCTATTTAAGGAGGGATATTTACTGTAAAGGTACCCTGGGGAATTTCCAGTGTAAACAAACACAGTTTTGTTTACTGGACTTTGGGAGTTTCCTCAGGGCCATGTCGAATGCATTTATTACCTCGTGAAAATGTGCTAATTTGTTTTGAAACCTGCATTGTTTAAATTGTCCAGCAGCTGCCTTCTTCCTCTCTTTTTTGTCCACATTGCTACCTGTTATGGCACATAACATCAACTGTCAATATGCAATAACCACCTGCTGCAGTCAGCAGCAACGTGTACCATCTCACCCACGCTTGTGGTGTGAGAGTGTATGCTCGTGTGTGCATCTCAACAAATAATTTCTCCACAGTGCCCCTAGTGCTCAGAAATTCCACAGCATACCATTAGATGGTTTGTTAATAAAAATCCCCTCTAGACGCGTACTCTATGAATATTCAAATGTTATTAATTTCTAAAGTTTTCCTGCTGGCACACAGCATTCTCCTAACTCTCACTGTACCAACTTTCGTCCCATCTCTCAGGTGCTATCCGATGCACCTGGTAGTCTCCAAGTTTCTACATCACACTCAATGCATAAGTACGGGGAGCATCCCGCACGGACCAGGATGATTATCCGAACACTGTTCTGTCGCGATGTGCCACAAAATCATGCTCATCAGCGAACGCCCTTGATATCTGATTTTAGTAGGCAACGAGGAACCTTTTAAGACAGATTCGAAGGTGAAAGACATCGCTTCCGAACTGCTGTCAGACTCTGGCACATACATTACATACGGCCATTCTGCACAGCGACAAATGCAACATCCATCTGTACGGACAAGACATGAAGGAAAAAATCTTTGCAGTGGAGGGGGCTCACTTTAATCGATCAATACAACACCAGATTGCATCACAAGAAAGATAAGAGGTCATATGTAACAGCATTTCAAACTTCAAAAAGAAACAGTCAACACAGCCAAGAACTTGAATTCTGGTATCCCATTGTGTTGTGTAATCAAGGAGACGCCACCAACAAATACTGTCTCTAAGTGGCAAGAGACGAAAACCACCTCATCAGACCCCCAATCGCTCGTCTTGCCTGTCTGCTAAATGCCACGTTAGAGAGCCGGAGGGCGCCCGGGTTAGTCGGAACCCACTTCCTCCTCTATCGTGTCATCCTCAGCAGCCCTGTGAGATTCGGAGGCTGCAAGGAGAAGCCGGGCCAGCAAAGCAAATGAAATGAGCTCAGCACAGTGAGAAAGAAAGAGTTAGGCCTCAGGCAGCGTGACATTGGCAAT